TAATACTTGGATATTCTCATTTGCTTTTACCTCAGCTTCACTTGCATTAAGGGTGATCTCAGAGTAACCCAAAGCAAACACCACATCACATCATTCCTAACAGTGTGGCAAGCTTTAAAACCAGATACTGGGTCAGAGTACCCACAAGATAACAGAGTGCATCTTCGCTGTGCTGCACTGGCCGCTTTGGGAATTGCTGCTGAAGGGAAGCAAAAAGGGATGGCATAGGCAGAAGGGGAACTTAAAAAAGTGTTTACCAGCAGTGAATGTTAATCAGGTAAGGTTCCTGGAAGCAACTGAGTAATGAAAAATATGCCTCAGCCTTCAGGGTCAAAAGGAAGTTATAACAGAGGGATTAAAATGATTTTGTCGGTAAAAGACAGGAAAAGCCAGACTAGATCTAGAATAGTTTTAGTTTAAAAGTCATGAAGAGCTAGCCTTTGTTATCAATGAATTGTAGGTAATTACTTTGCTAAAAATCTCTTTGTAACTAAAAAAAAAAATAAATCAGTGATGTTCACAAGTTATTTTAAAGCTTTTTAAAGAATTAAATAAATTAAAAAGAAGGAAACAAATATGTTTGGTATGCTAAAATTGTGATTATTTTTTATATCCTATGGAACAATACAAAAGTAACGCAATTATTTTACCAGTAAACTATAATAATCGGATTACATTTCTCCTTTCCTTTTTTAGTATTTATGCTCTACTATCTCCATTTTTAAGTAAAGAACAATATGGCAGTTCTGCCAGCTTTTAGAGAGACTTAGATCTGTGACGTGTTTTTGTTTTGTTTTGTTAGACATGATCTTTGACTTTGCAAACCTGGATTATTTTCACTTAACAGCTTTGGCCTGAGACAAATATAGGAACCCTGCTGACTTTTATTTCAACATAGCACTTCTCTTCCTTCCCGCTTCATTCCCATGCAGCTCACATTTAAAATCTAAACCTCCTTCCTGGACCAAATACTTTCAGCAACTTCAGGGTAAGGGAGAGATGCAATTTCTAAAATTTCCACAGCATTATTCTTTTTTTTATTATTACTATTATTATTTATTTACACCTGTCCTTCCTTTCTTTTGTTCTCACTTTGTGTTTCTTCTACCTGACAATTTCATGAACTACCATGTAGAAATTCAGAAAACTCAACCATTCTGAATGAAGAAGTCACAGTCATGTCATGCATCTGACTTTATGACAGAGCATTCTCCATTTTCTAGTGGAGGTGGTTGTTTTCATTGTGAGTCTCATTTACAGCAAGCTAGTATGTGCATTATACAAATACTGGCAGCAGAAAACATTCTTCACAAGGGGAAAGTGTAACCCACATGGCAAGTCTCTGAACACCGTATGTCAGCTTTTAAACTGAAAAAGAGTAATGGATTTGCCCTGTGTACCAAAATCTACTAGTTATTGTCATTTACATTAAAACCGAGAGGAACTTAATCTCAGCGTTACTAGACAAAAGGCCTGGCCAAGTCTTGGACTGGAGATGGGGCCATGAGTGGCCTCATCATACCTCAGAGAGGTACTAAAGCCTACTTGAATAAAAAGTCCGTCCCCGAGCTCTGCCGATTGGCATGATGCAGATGAAAAGACATCAAAGATCACTAGAGGACTAAGGATCAACTTTCTCTGAGAGAAAAAATAAGGAAGGAAGACAGCAAAAATGTTCACAGGATACTTTATTTCCTAGAGTAGATTGAACAGTGTGAAATTCAGCTAGTCCAAGAATGCACAGTATACCAAAAACATCTGAAAAACATGCTGCTGTTGTCTGATTGAGTTTTAACAGTGATCAGTTTGAGGGCAAGACACAGAACTAGTATTTCAAATTTTCTAATTTTCTAGATTTTCTAATTTCTACATTTCTCTTTGAAACAAGGTGACAATGATTTCAGACAACCTTAAAAATATTCTTATACTGTGTTTTTTTAAATCACTGTGAAGTCTGAGATACTGAAACAAAAATAAATAGAATGAATTTTGTAAATAATAGCTTTAGTCCACTATGATATACGCGTCACCTCGGCACATCTTTTTAGAGTGAAACAGTTATGAGAGACGGTAGACGGTATTTCCCATTGATACTGCATTGGGCCTTTTGATCTGTTGGACTAGGTATAATAAAAGTATTTCTGCCAGCAGTACAGTAGTTGTTATGCTGACATCAATGACAAGCATACAAGGCAAAATGCAAAGTCAATGAAACCAACATCTTTTTACTGCAGACTTGCTTAATTTCTTTCCTCATAGGCTAAGATACTTCTGCTAAGGGAAGTGGGTGGCAAATAAAGTGGCTTTTTTTCATTATTTCCAATAAATTTTGAGTAAGTGATTTTTGTGCTAAAGCTAGTAAAATGTCATCACTATCTTCATAGTATAGTATGTTACTTTTAATACAAAAAAATAGCAGGAGAAGAGAGAAATTCAAGCATTCAAGAAAGTCCTAATTTTTTGTAGTCATCTTACTCCTACATTATTTGAAAGCCACAAAACAGCAATTGCCTGTGTTAGAATAAATTCTCCTTAAAAAAACCCAAGTATTCAGATTTTAATAAGATTTTACTTTTCACCATATGGACTATACAAAGTATTTTAACCATTAAAAAAAAACAGAAGGGAAAACATCCAACTGTTATCGTCTGCCTGCTTGAGGCCTTGGAAATGGCTTATCCAATTTAAACCATTTATTTTTCATTTTAAAAAATAAATGCCCACCCAAGCTGACAATATGAAAGCCAGGCTTCAGCTGAAAACAAATTAAAACAGTCTAGTTATCCAAATCCGTTAAAATATCCAGAGATTCACACCAGCAATACCCGTTCTCCATTATGCACAACACTACATGGGAATACTGCGATACTCTATGCAGCTTTTGGCTTCAGCCTTAGAAATACTGACCGTAGGATTACCACTGTAGCACAGGGGTGCAGGGTCAAAACTCGATAAGATGAACTTTTGCCAACGGAAACATTTATCTTGCCACAAAATAACTTCTCTGATGAATCTGTTCATATATTGACAATCCTACTTTTGGCAACTCCAGAGGGAAGAAATTGAACTTGTAGGAAACCTTTCCTTTCAAGATGTGTGCAGCTCATTTTAGGTGAGTGAGGAAAAACATGAGAAAGACAATGGAAGCAGGAAAAAAACAACAGGCCAGCAGTTGCTATGTGCAATAATACTGTGGTGGCTGTATGCCCTTTCCTCCTCGCTCCAAGAATTCCAGCGTTTTAAATGGCAGCTATTAACATGAATTAACTCTGCACAGATTAGTCAAGTACAGCATGAGAAGACGGCAGTTCTAAGCTATTTTTGATCTATTCAGTTAATTATGATTCTAGGTTATCAGAACTGAATAAGCATGGTACTTCCTGTTGGAAACACCTATTCTTTGATAATTACACTCAGAAAAGTACCACACCATGTGTAAAGGTGCTGAGTTGAAATTCATTAATAAAAATCTGAAGGAAATCCTTTAATTAAACAACTTCTGAAGGTACCATGCTAACGGTTTAAAGAAAATCACTTCTGAACAGCAACCTGATTCAGTCATTTTGAAATCCAGGCGCTACACTGCAATGAATTGATCAGTCTCCTGAATGCTGCCCTCAAAATCCTGGAAAACAGCTAAGATCAAGAAATGAAGCAGATGCATCATATTCTCCAGGAAGTAATTTATAAGCCTGTGCTTTGACTATGTATATGAAACATACATCTGACTTGTCTCTCTCTGCCATAAAATGTAAATACTCCAGATGAATGTACACAGTGTACTAAAAAAAAAATAAATCAGAGCATTCTTCACTTGGTGCAGTAGTAAAACAAACACTTTCTAATAATATATAGCTGTATTAAGTTTTCTATTTGGAATGTTAGGCACTCAGGTAGGGAGCAGGTGGTATATCCCTAATTATCACATTCACCTTTCAACTTTCTGGATTTGTAAAACAGGGACATTTCTATTACACGCACTGTGGTAATCTCAGATGACCATCAGATATTCTGATTTTGAATTCAACCACCTCACAGGGAAGAATTTATCAGGAAAGTCTGATCACCCTTTTCTAAAAAGAAAATGGGGTATTCCTATATGCCAGCATATAAATGCTAGACTCCTAATTTCTATTACTCAACAGGAGGACTTTTTTTTTTCCCCTCCC